CCCCCTCCCTCTCTGTTGAGTGACATGTGGTCTGAGAGTGTTTGCAGAGGTCACAGGCAGCCAAAGCACAGCAGGAGAGCTCCAGAGCTATAGAACCCCCAACGGACATTGGGCCTAGCTGTCTGTTCACTGTGCAATTTGGGACATCGTAAAAGCGTAAAAAAAGCCCTTCACTGAGTTCAAAGACATTCCAGAGAAGTAATAAACTAGACACCACATTCAAAATCCATTTTCCCCTATGATTTCATATCTTGGAATATGAGAGACTTACATAAAAACCAGGCATATCGTCAGATTGGTTAAGTTAATACAAACCGTTTGATATATTATATTCCCTAGCTGGAATATATAGGAGGGCAGGAAAGTATATCTCCTGAACCATTCAAGTGCATATAACATGTTTCATCTCTAACCATTCCGCAGATGTGGCTGAGTATTAATATACTAGTGACCAGGCCGGCAAATGCCCCTAGAATAAGTTATGAATCCTAAAATAAGCTACGAGAGTTTCTGGTTATAACTTAGGTCTCCACCCAACACCCCTCCCCAAATAAGGCAATTGTTTCTCTGTTGTAAGGAGACACCCTGCTGAGATGCTAGAAAAAGGCTGTTATACTTGGTGTGTGTGTGTGTGAGAGAGAGAGATCTCCCTGCCTTAACATCGAAACTAGCAGTGGGAGATCAAAGCATCCTTTTGGTCATGAAACTTGAAGCTGCTTAAAACCAAGGCTGACTGGCAAGTACTTTAACCCTTTAAACTCTTTTCTGTTAACTCTTTGCTGTGCTGTTGTGCTCTGTATATTTTATATATATATTGGTTACATCTTTTTTCTGTAAATATTTTTATTGCACCCTTTTGACCTTTTAGTAATAAATCTTACTTTCTGAAAGTGTTGAACTGTTTCTAACGCCTTTAATGCAAACTACGAATTCCTGCCGCTGAAGAGTGCTACTATGTGTATTTAACCCTCTGTATAACCTGCCTGCGGTGAAAGTGGTATACAGATGATTATTTCAACCATTCTAGTGTTATTGCTGATATTGCCGAGTTTCCTCTTTCTCTGTACAAAAAGGAGGTGGTGGCAGTGTGAAGGGTTAATTGCGTAATTAACCTGACCCAGTAACAATCGCCCCCAGGCTGCTGGTACATCGATTGTGGTCCAGTGAGCTGGAAAATCTTTGTGCAGGGTGCAGCTGGGCATGGCATTGTGATGCACGTGACATCGCCGTTTTAGATTGGCTAGTCCTTCGGTCGCGAGTTTGGTGAGAAGGGCAGGGGTCTGACGTCGCGATCGTCACATATTGTCTGGCAGCGTACGTGGGATGGTTTGCGTTAGAGCTTCAGCGCATTGTTAGGAATTAGCTCTGCACTGAAGGATTTTAACCTTTGTGGAAACAGTCCTTAGAAACAACTGGTGCATATTTTTTATATATATAGAGAGACATATAGCAACAGCTCCTTACTTTTCCTACTTCCTATTCTATCTTTGCTTGTAATTATGCCTGGTGCAGCAGAATACAAGAAAATGAGCAAAATTGATTTGAGTACGGAATGTACCTCACGAGGAATGGACGTCAGTCGCAAAACACGTGAAGATTTAATTCGTGACCTACTGGAGCATGATATCCAAGCAGATCAGAACTCGGGGGAACTTGACCCCAGTGGCTCAAAGACAGCCTAGCAGGATGGACATACAGAGTCTGACACTGGAGGATCACCGAATGTTATCGTCACACTACCGCCTAAGCGGGCCAGCACCGGAGTGCCTGTAACCAGCAGAGACTCTCCTCAGATGCAGGAAGCCCTGAAACGCATCATGGAGACAGATCCTATGGCATACTTGCAGTTCCTTGACCGCCAGGCTGAGAGAGCGGCTGACAGAGAGGCTGCGGAACACCAAGCAGCGGAGGACAGAGCGGAACGCCAGGCTGACCGAGAGGTGGCACAGAGGGAAGCTGATAGACGGCACGAACTGGAGATGGTGAGACTTCAGCAGCAGTGACAGAGTCAGAACCTCGGGTCCTTAGAGCACAGGGATGCCTCTCTAACCGTGGGCACAGCAGCCAAGTTTCCAGTGATGGAAAAAGATAGTGACATTGACATGTATTTACTGTCATTTGAAAAAAACTTTCCGTCAGTACCATCTGCCCCAAGCTCAATGGGCTCGGTACCTAACACCAGGGCTACGAGGCAAGGGCCTGGATGCATTTGTCGAATTGCCAGAGGGGCAGGACGACGATTATGAAGCTTTAAAAGATGCCATTGTCTGGAAGTACCAGATGAGCCCGAAAGTGTACCGCAAGCGGTTTAGGTCCTTGCAAAAGGGACCTGGGGACTCTTACACGGATGTGACAAGTCGTTTACGCACCACATTCCGGCAGTGGACCAAAGGACTAAAGGCTGACTTTACGAGTCTTTAGAGGATCTCATAATATGAAATCAGCTCCTGCATATCTGCCCGGCAGAAAGCAGACAGTTTGTCTTGGAGAGAGAGCCAGCATCTACTAAAGCTGCAGCCAATTTGGCAGATACCTACGTTCATACACGGGTGTCTGACCCTCGCAAGGCTCCTCCAAATGGCTAGAAAGGAGGGAAATCGCCCATAGCAACCCCTCCTACGCCGGGGAGTTAAGCTCCCCTCACCCAACCCCCGCAGTACTTGGAGCCAAGCCATCCCTGCCTGACAACCGCAGATTTTTCACCTGTGGGAAAACCGGACATCTTAGGTGTCCTGAGCAGAAGCAGATGACATCACCTGGCCAGCAACTCTTCTTCCGTGCTGTTTATCCACAGGAAGATGCGGGTAACCCCCACCAACTTGCAGCCAGTCACTGTGGGCAACTGGTCTGTAACTGGTTTCCGTGACACCGGGGCAGAGGTCACATTGATCCGGCCAGAGGTGATTGAGCAAAGAAACCTCATCCCAGGAAAGTTCCTTACCCTCACGGGAGTTGGGGGGACCTGCTCACGCATACCCTGTGCAAAGGTATTCATAGAATGGAGTGCGGGAAGGGGGATAAGGGTGGCGGGGGTCTCGGATGAAATTCCCACACCTGTTTTGTTGGGTGCCAATTTGGGTACTCTTGTGTTCTATTATGCCCCTGCCGAGAATACCCGGAAGGCCCCCCTGGAACTCTCTGGACATGCCAAGGTACTGTGTGAAGATGTTGGGGTAATGTCTGGGCAACCTGTGGATGGACAGAGGGAGGGGCCTGAGAATATGGTGGGGTTGCAAGATTCTCCATTAGCTGGAGAACGAGAAGAAATCCCCTTGCCTGGTGAGGAATCGAACTCACGTGTCATTGATATTATAAACGTGACTGTTGTTAATGATGACGTTAATGATGATGATGATGCTGCTGATATTGATAATGTCAGTAATGTTGATGATAATGTTGATAATGCTAATGATAAAAATGATGCATTTTCATTGTTGGGGGTCACCCACAGTGCTGTGAAGGGGGCAGAGGTACACTCTCTGGGGGCTGAGCAAAGGGATGGTCTGGATAGGCCTGTTCTTTTCCCAGGCACAGAGGATTCTACCTTGATAAGCGCCCATCCGTTGTCCTTGCATGGTACTGGAGAGCCGGCTGGGACTTGTAGTTCCATGTGTAAGGCAGCACTGAAAAGCAATCCACACATGGACTTCAGCAGCCAGCTAGTTATGAGCTTCCCTGCTGAGAAAGGTAAACAACAGTTGGCTATTACTTGTAGTTCCACATGGAAGGCAGCACTGAAAAGCAATCAACACATAGACTTCAGCAGCCAGCTAGCGGTGAGCTTCCCTGCTGAGAAAGGTAAACAATGGGTTGACAGGGATGATGGAGTGAATGGTCTACCAGCAGGGGGCTTGGGGACTGAAAGCATGTCATCTGATCTGGCCTGTCCAGGTGTGTGGAGAGAATCTGAAGCCAGGAAGGAAACCACCTTCAACTGTTGGTGGCTTAGATTCCCTTCCCCACCACCAGGCAGACAAACACCTATCAGAGGTAGTGACAGCACACCTGGATTGGAAGTGCGAGGGGCCTCATTGAAGTTGATCGTAGGCTCTCAGAGGGGGCTGCGGCCTTCAGCTCCATCACCTTTCCTTTCCATTCAGGTACAGAAGCTGCTGGCAAGGCCCACGATAGATGCGGTCTGGGAAACCCGGGGAAAGCTCACCGTGCTGTTCATGAGCTGGACGGCAGGGTGTATCCTTCCCCCATGCCTTCAGCCCACCTCATCTCACAGGAGGTGCTGAATGAATGGGCCAAAGAGACAGAGGGAATAGCGCAGTCAGGAATCCAGAGGTCAGGTAGAGTCTGGGCATCCCCGGTAGTCTCAATCCCCAAACAGGATCAGATGACCAGGCTTTTTGAGGACCTTGGAAAACTGAGCGCCAGCCCTGTGAGTGTGGCCCACCCCATGACCAGGAGCCATGAGATAATGAAGCATCTGGAAGGTGCCCGGTGTCTAACCATCATGGACCTGAGCAGAGGGTATGGGCCACCATCCCTAACCCAGGAGGCTCAGGACGAGTAAGCCTTCACCACCCCATGTGGCTTGCCTGAATTCATGGGAAAGCTAGTTGGGGTTGAGAACGCACCAAGCACCCGCCCAGGGGTCAGGAATGACCTACAATGGGGAGTGAAACTGTGTGCAGTTGCCCACTTTAGGGGCCTTGCAGTGTTCGGCCTGGTCTGGAAAGAGCAACTTGGGCCCCTGTCACTAGTCAGGAACAAACTGCCCGTGCCTAGTCTGACAGTTAAGAATGGTAACTGTCAGGGGGGCATGTCAGTGGTTAAGCTCCCTCGAACCACCGGTAGGAAGAGACCCCCAGAGGTCTGGGAATGGGGAGACTGAGGCAGTTATGGCCTGGCCTACTCCCCAGGCCAAAAAGCAAGTTTCGTCAGTCTTGGGTGCAGCTGGCTACGGTAAGACGCCTGGGTGCAACTATCATGGCTCAGCTGGACCTGTGGCTGACCTAGCAGACAGGAAACTGATGGAACTAGTGTCCTGGATGCTAGCAGGTAAAGAGGACTGTTCATCTTGGACGAAGGTACCTGTGGACCCATCTGGGCGATGAGTTGCAGAATTCGCCTGTCCGGTTCCGTTACCCACAGGCGCCACTACCTTCGGGTCAGATATAGTCCTGGGCCGGAGGAAGAAGATAGGAGAGGGAAATCTCATTCTCTACCTCGACAAGAAGCTACATCTCAATATGTTAGCATATGACACCCCTGAACAGAAGTGTTTTGTGAACAGGTGGGCACCCCGGCAGTTGCCACGATATCCGGATAGTCACAGCCGACTGGTGCTCACCCCTGGCAACTCACTTGGTTGGCACAACAGTGTTGCTGGGGAGAACAACACCCTTCTCAGAAGGCACCTGGTCCTCCCGCAGTGTAATGGCACCATATCACTCCAAGGTGAACCTCTGGGCACAGTGGCTCTGTGCCCTGGTCAGGCAAACCCGCCGCAAGAGTCGGTTGCGTCAGGAGGGAAATTGCAGTCCCCTCCCATGCAACCACCAGAGGGGGGAGGTGCAGCAATCGTGCGCACAGGGACGAACACGGCCCTCCATTTTTTAAAGAATTTTCCATGTGGTACCATCTCTAACTCCCAAAGCAGACTGCCTCCTCCAATCATCCCCTGTTGACATGTGGTCTGAGTGTGTTTGCAGAGTTCACAGGCAGCCAAAGCACAGCAGGAGAGCTCCGAAGCTATAGAACCCCCGATGGAGCTGGCGCCTAGCTGTCTGTCTGCTGTGCAATTTGGGATATCGTAAAAGCGTAAACCAAGCCCTTCACTGAGTTCAAAGACATTCCAGAGAAGTAATAAACTAGACACTACATTCAAAATCCATTTTCCCCTATGATTTCATATGTTAGAATATGAGAGACTTACATAAAAACCAGGCATATTGTCAGATTGGTTAAGTTAATACAAACCGTTTGATATATTATATTCCCTAGCTGGAATATATAGGAGGGCAGGAAAGTATATCTCCTGGACCATTCAAGTGCATATAACATGTTTCATCTCTCACCATTCCGCCGATGCGGCTGAGTATTAATATACTAGTGACCAGGCCGGCAAATGCCCCTAGAATAAGTTATGAATCCTAAAATAAGCTACGAGAGTTTCTGGTTATAACTTAGGTCTCCACCCAACACCCCTCCCCAAATAAGGCAATTGTTTCTCTGTTGTAAGAGACACCCTGCTGAGATGCTAGAAAAAGGCTGTTATGCTGGTGTGTGTGTGTGAGAGAGAAGATCTCCCTGCCTTAACATCGAAACTAGCAGTGGGAGATCAAAGCATCCTTTTGGTCATGAAACTTGAAGCTGCTTAAAACCAAGGCTGACTGGCAAGTACTTTAACATTTTAAACTATTTTCTGTTATCTCTTTGCTGTGCTGTTGTTCTCTGTATATTTATATATATATTGGTTACATCTTTTCTCTGTAAATATTTTTATTGCACTCTTTTGACCTTTTGGTAATAAATCTTACTTTCTGAAAGTGTTGAACTGTTTCTAACGCCTTTAATGCAAACTACGAATTCCTGCCGCTGAAGAGTGCTACTATGTTTGTTTAACCTTCTGTATAACCTGTCTGCGGTGACAGTGCTATACAGATGATTATTTCAACCATCCTAGTGTTATTGCTGATATTGCTGAGTTTCCTCTTTCTCTGTACAAAAAGGAGGTAGTGGCAGTGTGAAGGGTTAATTGCGTAATTAAGCTGACCCAGTAACAATCGCTCCCAGGCTGCCAGTACATCGATTGTGGTCCAGTGAGCTGGAAAATCTTTGTGCAGGGTGCAGCTGGGCATGGCATTGTGACGTATGTGACATCGCCGTTTTAGATTGGCTAGTCATTCGGTCACGAGTTTGGTGAGAAGGGCAGGGGTCTGACGTTGCGATAGTCACAAGCCACAAAACCAACTTAACCATAATGGACATGATATAAAGAGATATTGATAAGAGCCACTTTCATATTTCAGCAGGACATATAAATATCTCAAAAAAGCCATATATCAGCTTGAAGATGACTCATAACCAGCAATCACATTTTCATTCATGGAACATGACTGCCCCTAGTGGACAGTTAAACCTCCACAATCAATTGAATTCTGGCTGTCCAATCAGCCTATACCATGGGAGGTCCTAGAGAACAATGTGTCTTTCCAATATATATATGCAGGAGCTACCTTAAAAAACAACTACTCTAAAAAAAGACTCTTGAAAGACTCCACTTTTAAAAAAAGAAAAACTCTGAAAACCCTACCTTTGAAAAATGCTCTGCTGGAGAAAACTCTTTGAATTTAAAGACTGTTTTTGGAAAACCTATTTTTGACCAGAAAAGAACTTTTGCCTGCTAATCCACTTTTTACCTATTTCCTGACGAGAATAAGATTGCTGGCTAGAGACAACATTTTCAACTACCTGCTGTTCCACCGAAATTTCTTCAGAGAACGCTATACCTGGAAGTGGTGAGAAATTGTGTGAAATTATCAAAAACGTTTTATTCATTTAGAATGTACTAGACCCATAATAATAGTAATATTGTGCTGTAATACTAATCATGCATATAGATAGATATTGCAAATTACTTTGAAATTGCATTGATTGGATTGAATCACCAAGATTGCATAGTGTAAATTGGATGCTTAATTAGATTGTTTTGATTGTGGAATAGAGTTTTATTTTTTTCTCTATATTGGGTATTGAAATTGCATTGTTTTCTTATAACATATCTGAAGTGTTTTCTGTGTAAATTATATCAGGAATATTTTTCTCATTCCTTTCAGCCGTGGGAATTGGAAATGATATCTTGAGTACTAACAATTGAAAGTTACTAACTACTGAAAAATCGTTTTCGTCATTTACGCTGTTGTGATATATATTTACATTTGACATATTTAAAATTGACGGATTGGGGTATTCTTTGATTGTGCGTAGGAAATACTCATCAGCAGTATATTGGCTTGTATTAATATATATATATATATATATATATATATACATACCGTATTTTCCGGCGTATAAGACGACTGGGTGTATAAGACGACCCCCTACTTTTCCTGTTAAAATATAGGGTTTGAGCTATACTCGCCGTGTAAGACTACCCGTCTTCCAACACACACCAAAAATGAAAAGACATGAGATTTGATTTCAATATGGTATGCTATTTCAGTATGGTATTCCAATGATGGGTGCTATTCCTCCCACTGACACCAATGATGGGGCACTATTCCTCCCACTGACACCAATGATGGGGCACGATTCCTCGCTTTGACACCAATGATGGGGCACTATTCCTCCCACTGATACAAATGATGAGGCACTACTCCTCCCACTGACACCAATGATGGGGCACTATTTCATCCACTGACACCAATGATGGGGCACTATTCCTCCCACTGACACCAATGATGGTGTCTTATCATTAGTGTCAGTGTGTGAGGAATAGTGTCCCATCATTAGTGTCAGTGGGAGGAATAGTGCCCCATCATTAGTCAGTGGGAGGAATAGTGTCCCATCATTAGTGTCAGTGGGAGGAATAGTGCTCCATCATTGGTGTCAGTGGGAGGAATAGCGCCCCATCAATGGTGTCAGTGGGAGGAATAGCGCCCCATCATTGGTGTCAGTGGGAGGAAAAGCGCCCCATCAATGGTGTCAGTGGGAGGAATAGCGCCCCATCATTGGTATCAGTGGCAGGAATTGCACCCCATCATTGGTGTCAGTGGGAGGAATAGCGCCCCATCATTGGTATCAGTGGAAGGAATAGTGCCCCATCGTTGGTATCAGTGGCGGGAAAAGTGCCCCATCATTGTTTTCAGTGGGGAGAATAGTGCCTCATCATTGGTGTCAGTGGGGGGGGGGGAATAGTGCCCCATCGTTGGTGTCAGTGGGGAGGAGGAATAGTGCCCCATCGTTGGTGTCAGCGTGGAGGAGGAATAGTGCCTCATCGTTGGTGTAAGTGGGGGAGGAATAGTGCCCCATCATTGGTGTCATTGGGGGAGGAATAGTGCCCCAATCGTTGGTGTCAGTGGGGGAGGAACAGTGCCTCATCGTTGGTGTCAGTGGGGGAAGAACAGTGCCCCATCGTTAGTGTCAGTGGGGGAGAGGAATAGTGCCAAGAGTGTCACAGCATGGTGCTGCTGCACACTTACTGGCCGCTCCCTCACTCGATTTTCGCGCGGGGCTGCTCAGCTCCGCCTCCTCGCCGGTGATTGGTTCTGGGCTCCACCCCGGCAGATAGGAGTCAGGAGGACTCCATCCCGGCAGATAGGAGTCAGGAGGGCTCCACCAAGGAGAAGTGGAAGCCAAAAGCAGCAAGGAGCTGCTAGAGACTAGCTGTGTGCTAGTGGCCAGCTGTGTGCGAGAGCCATATTTTTGAAAGAGTCTGCAGGAGACAGACGTAATCCTGAAGAGGAAGGCCAGCAGAAGATTGTGTATATCTGAGAGATCCAGGAGGCTGAATTTTGTTTATGTGGATGATAGATACCCCTGTGTGGGAGACTTCTGATGTTTTGAACTGTCATTTAAATAAAAGTGAGCTAAAAAGGCCTTAAAAAGCAAGCGAGTTGATGTGTGCATTTAACCAAGCTCTACCATTTGAAGCAAGTTCCCACATATGGTGGAGGATGCGGGCAGAACGGGAGATCCCTGCGATGAAGTAAGTTCATTTGTTATATGAACTGTGTTTGGTGCATAAGTCTACACTATCTGTGTGTGCAGGTGAGGAGAACCTGCTAGAGGAAAGGACTTTGCCTTAAAGAGACAGTGTTCCATGGTGTTGCTGAACTGTGTAACACACTGCTGTGTGCATGACTGCAAAGATGGGGCGGTCAAAACAGAAAAAGGAGGCAATGTTTGCTGAAATGAGAGAGAGAGCCCTGTGGCTAGGGGGTTATGTGTCGCATGGCCCAGCAAAGCCAGGAAATTTAGATGTGGGTGAGTCTGCTGTGGACTGGTGCAAGCGGCACCTGGCAGCATTGAACCAACCTACAGAGGAAAGCAAGCCAACCTTCAGTGCAAGGAGAGAGCTGCAGGATGTCCGTACCTGGGAGAGGGTGTTGTCACCCCTGGCAACGCTGCTGCAGTTAAACCATTAGCTGTTGTGACAAATGTGAATGTGTCAAGGCTTGAGAGTTGGTCCAGCAGAGAGAAGCCTATGCTATGTGCAAGGAGAGGGGCTGACCAGAGGCCAGGACCAATAGTGAAGGCCCATAGCAACACAGAGGAGGCCAGTCGGGCTGTCTGTGTACGGGGGGCTATGTCGTACAAGGATCATGGCAAGTGGCATCAAGAGGAGCCAATACAGCGTGTTGGAAAGAGCCAGCAAAGTTCTGCTTGGAGAGTGCAATCTCCCATGGCAACTGGAGAAAAAGTAGTGCATGGAAGTGTAGAAATATACCCTGCATGGAATGTGGTCAGTGGGGGCATGGGATCTTTTACTGTCCCAGACTCTGGAATACCGCTGATATTGGGCAAATATCTACAACTGCAAGCCCAGATTCTTATTTTAAAATGTCAGCAACTACCTCTGGCAACAGGGAGGAAGTTCCTGTTGGGCCTGCAGCGGGTGTCAGAGAGTCCATTGAGCCTATGAGGGTGTCTATTACTTCACCTTGGGGCGAAGGA